GTGGCTAAAACTATACACATTTATACATCCAGACAAATCTAGGGTCAGTGATCGTTGATATTAACCCCACCTTCAGTTCCGCATGTTTTTCATAAATAGTTGGGGAATGAATTACCAGGAGACACATCTGTTATAGCAAACAAGCACACTGTATTCAAGAAGTGGAAGAAAGCTGTCATTGGTGTTGCTTATTCCCCTTCCACTAATTAAGGACACTAGGCAAATCAGGGAACAATGAAACAGGAGGATTGACTTAGCAAAAGCAGCTTCCCTGTGCTAGCACAACTTCTTGAGGGGTTTTATACGTCAGCCTAAGGAAATCCTACAACCAAGGACTGACTCAAGCTGACTGGTCTGGCTGAATTGTTTTCTTTTATCAGTATGGTTGATCTGCTGTAAGTTCCAGTCATAACCAAACATGAAAGGGCAAACTGAGATGGCAGTGCTGTTGCTTTCTGTATAAAAAATGGGGTGGGAGGTGTTGACTTAAAATAGCTCTCTTTGCCTATGTCTTTCCTTGGTTTGCTCACTGTGATGAAGCAAGCTGCCATTTTGAAGAGGCCCATGTAGCTACTGAGGGTGGCCTCCAACCAACAGCATGATGAATCTTACAACTAAGTCTCACAAAAATAAATATAATCAGTTGAATCTCTACTCAAATGTGACTTTGGGCTCCTTATTTTAAAAGGTGCATTATTTACCAAGGGAAAGTAATTCCACTCAGTGTTCAGTAACTTTGTTTTCCTTTCTGATCAGACCTACTAGTACCAATAGGCCAACATCAGCCCTAAGAATGACTTCTTTTCACACCCAACTTGGAACTGGGTCCTGAGATTACTCCCAAGTAGGCAAATCTAGCAAGCAGAAACTTCACCTGTTACAGGACAGACCAAACCCAGTCAAGGACGGATCAGACTGAGATCAAACAGTGGCATGCATGGCTCTTGACCTACAGGAAATGAACAGATGAGGCCAAAATAAACAACCTGAATGCATGAAATAACCAACAGAGCTAGCTCAATTCCCACTAAAAAAACACACAGAAGGGGCTGGCTAGTTAGCACAGTTAAAGCATGGTGCCAATAACACCAAGATCCAGGATTCAATTCCTATACCAACCAGCCGTTCAAAAACAACAATGAAAATAAAGAAGGGTAAGAAAGAAACAAGGATAGAAGTTATCTTTAGGGCTGAAGCATCAGACAAAACTGGCTTATAGTTTAGTTTGATCAACATGGTCGATCTGATGGGGAAAAAAGTTATGTCATCAGCTGCAACAGCCAAATCTGAGTCACAGAAAGCAGAAACCAAAGAGAACAACCCCATATTGGTGTAAAAATCAGCTATCCCACACAGATTCTATGTCTATTCAGGGAGAGACGTGGGCTTCACTTACTGATCCTCTCTGGCACCTGCATTCACCCAGCTCCATTCAAAGCCTGTTTTTCAACAACAGCAAACCTGAGATGAAAACACAAGGATGACCTATCAGCAACTTAGATGCCCAACAAAGAAGGGGCAAAGTTACAGCTCAAGCTGGCATATCAGACAGAAACTGGCTTAGAGAAGTTAGATCAACATGGTCGATCTGTTGGGGAAAAAAGTTCAGTCATCATACATGCCAGCAGGAAGCTCTTTAGAGCCCTGAAGGAAAAATACGATTTGGCTGGTATGCTTCCATACTTGTAAACTCATTCATTGAATATTTGAGCACTTCTGTGTTGTGTCCTGTTGTTGGCAATAATACAGCAGGCAAAGGCAAATACTCCTGCCTTCAGAGCTTACACTTGAGTAGATGCCACACATGGCTGGCAAGAGTTGTGAAGAAATTGCTTTTACTGAAGTGACAGTTTGGAGCATGAGTGTCAGGAGGTTGCGTCTTAACAGAAGATGTTATCACAAAAACCTTACATAAAAGAACAATCTGGGACAATCTAAGGTCCAAATATAACAAAATAACAATAATATAATGTAATAAAAATAAGGCTCCTTTTAAGTCCAGTCCTTAAGTGCCTCACTCCTGGACTTGGCTTTCCAAAAATTTTTTCCAAAGAAAAACCATTACTCATCAAATGCCCAGAAAGTGCACATGTAAGAATGGAATCCAAAATCGTGCTTAAAAGAACATTAAAAACACATCAAACAACTTTTCACTTAAAAGGTTATTCCACTTACGGCATTTCTCTTAAACCTGTTTCTTCACTAGGAACCTAGGTCTAACAGGTAAACTGTGAAAATTGTAACAAAATAAAGCATACAGAACACTTTAAAGAATACCTACTGCCTAACAAGTACTCAATAGAAATTAGCTTAATTAGTTAAATCTTCGTTTTTTTCCAAGTTTGCCTGGCAAACTAATTCTCAAAGCACGTGTTTCCTATAATAGGCCAGAAGACAAATGCTTACCCTAGAGATCAGGAGATCGAAGATTGTAGATGTTGATATGGGATTCCCTTGGAGGCCCAAAGCATATTCCCTCCTCCAACATCCATTTTGTACCCTCTGGCCGCCCTAACCTGCGAAACAAGGAAAGGGCATCAATCGCCATCTTTCCAAGGTCAGAAAAGAACTGAGTCGGGCCTTTTGAGGCCGGTGCATCAGAACTAACTGGCAAGTGTTCTAAGAAATCAGCATTGTCGATCTGATGGGGAAAAAAACGAAGTCATCATTTACACCAGCCAAGGGATTCTTTAGGCCCGTGGAGATGGTGCGGGTTTTTCCAGCTAACTCACCACCCCCACGGCCCTACGGCCTATTTGGGGTCAGAGCTGGAGGAACCACGGCAAGGGAAGACTAGGACCAACCGCAGAAAGGACGGCACAAAGAGGGTAACGGAGAGGACCAGAGCCCTCGAATAGAAAACAGCTGGATTTCCACTCACCACGTACAAACGGGCTCCCCGAGCTGGACGAGACCAAGTAGGCCACACTCGCAACCCGGGGACCAAAGCTAGGACCAACCGCAGAAAGGACGGCACAAAGAGGGTAACGGAGAGGACCAGAGCCCTCGAATGGAAAACAGCTGGATTTCCACTCACCACGTACAAACGGGCTCCCCGAGCTGGACGAGACCAAGTAGGCCACACTCGCAACCCGGGGACCAAAGCTGCGAAAGGAAGATCCGCGACCGGAACCTCCCTTATATAGCCAGAGGAGGCTCTCTCGCGCCTGCGCACTGGGCCCGAGGCGCTTCCCCTTCCCGCCCACGCCGCGCGGGGCCCCCTGGGAAATGTCTCCGAGCCACTCAGGCCGGAGTGCTCTTATGATTGTCAAGGCCGCGACTAACCCCGTCCCCTTCCCAGTAGCCTCGGGGCCACCCGCGTTCGTCGGCTTCGCCGCCATGTCGCGCTTCACAAGTACCAAGCAGCCCACCGGGTCCCCCCTCCTCCGGGGCCGACTGAGGCCTGACATGGCCTCGGGCGCAGAACCCGCCCCTCGCGTCCCCTCCCCTCAGCCACTCTGGCCCGAGCCCGCCAGCCCAGCCGCTTGGGGGAGCTGAGGCGACGCCAGCCCCGAGGGCGGGGGCGTTGGCAGTGCCCGGCCCGGCCCCCTCGCTCGCTTCCTCCTCCTGGCGGCCGCCTGCCCGGCTCCTTGCTCCTCCCAGAGTCTGCGGGGAAGGGAAACCGAAAGTGCGCGGCACGGGCGGGGCCGCCGAGCTACCTGGGCGGGAGAACCGAGCTCTCGCCGGAGGCGACGGCGAGGAGACGCGCCGGAGCCGGGTGAGTGGTCCCTGCCCCGGCCCCGCACCTGCTCCTGCCGTGCCGCCCCGCAGCTGCCTCTGTCCGCGGCTCCTACCTCTGCCCAGAACCCCAGCGCCCCCGATCCTTTAACCTCCTCAGCCCCCAGCGCCCCCCGTCTTCCTCCTCACAGTCCCTGGCCCCTCTCCTCATGCGCCTGTCACCTCCTCAGCCCCCAACGTCCCTCATCATCCCCCTCCCAGTCCCTGGCCCCTCTCCTCAGTGCCCCTGTGCTCTCTTCAGTGTCCCTATCCCCTCAGCTCACCCGTCGCTCTCCTTAACGACCCCAACACCCCCGTCACCCACCTCTGCCTCTGGTCTCACCCCTCTCTCTGCCCTTACTTTCTGCCATAGCTACTGCCTTTATCTCCCTCTGGCCTCACCTCCTGTCACCGTATTCATCCTCCGTCTCCTACAAAGCCCCTCAGCCCCCTGGATTCCCAGCCCTGCTGGAGTCCCCCCATCGCGGCAACAAGCACCCACCTCTCCCAGCTGAACTCTGTTCCACCCTCTTCTTGAGGCCACCATACATCTCCAGCTCTCCCCTATATCCCCCACCAGCCCCTGCTTCAGCCTGGGAATGGCACCTTCCTTCACAGGCCACCACACAGCCTTGGGCTCTCCCTTGACCCCATAATAGTGCCTTCAGGACCCGGTGGGCTCCTGTGTGCTAGTGACTCCTCTCAGGACCCTGGAGACTTCCTCTTGAAACCGGCTCTTCTTGCTTCAACCACTTTCATCCCGCCCTGATAATGATCATTTTCCTCTAATTCTGACCCCTGTACCAGCCTGAACATCACTGATTTTCTTCTTCCTCCCCTTTAGGCCTTGATTCCCCCAAAAACCCACTTTACTCTGCTTTTTTCATAGCATTTCCTGTTTATCTGCTCCCTTCCTTTCCTTGCCTTTTCTTTTTAACATCTTTTTTCTTTCTTTCTTTCTTTTTTTTTTCCTGTTTCTTTTATGCCAGAAAGTTTCAGGGCTTCTATTTTAGTATTTTTCAAAAAAGAGGAAGAAGGAATTTTCCCCTTGGGGAATTAAAAAACAAAAAAAACTCTAAATATTGAATGCGCAGCATGAGAGCAGCGTTTGATAAGATGAGGGAAGAGACTCACCAAAAATATTTCCAGAGGGAAGAAAAGGGACTCCTTTTCCTGATGAGAATAAAAGCTACCCTCATATAATGCCAAATCTATTCACAGTTTCCAACTATGAATATTTTAAAACTTAGTGAGAAGGACAGTCTCAAAAAATCCCTTTTCTGAGGACTCTGAGTCACCTACTCTTTCCCTAGCCCTATCCCACATGTGTGTGAGTTGGACTGAGAAATTCCCTTAAAGGGGCTTCCACTTCCTCTTATAGGACCAGTGTCAAATCATCAAGACAGAAGAAGGACAAGGAAAGAACTGCAGATATCTAGCTGGCCCTAGAGAAACAGCACCCCATAGATGCTAAGGCTCCTGGTTATTGAAACATATAATTTCTTTCTCTTGATTCAGTAGAGCAGAGGATTTAATCATTTGACTGCATTTCAAAGAGCAGGATAAGGGATAACTGCTCACTAATTATCTGCAAACTATAGGGCACTGCAAACTATCAAATACTATGTAATATAAATGCCAGATAGGGTGGTGAGTACATGGTTTTAGATTAACAAAAATGGACTCCTTTTGCCTTAGCAACAGTATTTGTCTGCTTTATAGGAGAGAAAAATGAAACCTAGCAACTGATTAAGTAACGTGGCTAAAAGCATAAACCAAACAGTAGTTTTGAATGGGAATTGATGACACTCCCTCGAACCACAAGATAGTGCAAGGTAAAGGGAAGGGGGAATTTGATCTCTTGAAATCACCTAAATCGTGAATTTTGTGCTTCATATCATAATTGGGTATTCACAGAATTGAGAACTTGTGCTCATGATTAAAATCTGCATTTAGCTCTTAGTTATTGAATCATTAACATGTAGAGACAGAAGGATGGTGCTTGGGTTTTTGCTGTTGGATGCTGATAACTCTCAGCCTGTGCAGTTTTCCAGGTAATGTGAATGTGGAGAAATTGAGGTGACTCAGACATGGAGGACAGAAGACCTCATCTGGAGGCCAGGCCCAGGAATCCCCATACCAACCCCAGAGGTAAGCAAGGTTTCTCACTTAATGAGAAACCTAGTAGTAAGAGAAGGACATCGGATTCCCTTTGAATAAGCAGGCCCAACTAAGATTGCTTGAGTGACTCTGAAAAACAGACAGCCCTCTACTTTTCCTAAGAGAGCCAATGAATGGGTGCAGTTTACTTTAATAAAAACAGTGATGGAATGGCAGAAATGGAAATAACTTTTAGTCTATAGCAGCGCTGTCCAATAGAAACATAATACAATCCAAAAATGTAATTTTTAATTTTCTAGTAGCATCATTTAAAAAAGTAAAAAGAAAAGAGATGAGGGCTGGCCAGTTAGCTTAATTGGTTAGAGTGTGGTGTTATAACACCAAGGTCAAGGGTTCAGATCCCCCTAGCGGCCGGCCACCAAAAAAAAAAAAAAAAAAAAAAAAAAAAAACCCAGTGAAATTTATGTTTAAAATGTAGTATTAACTTAATAAAATTTAATAATGTAATATGTCTTATATAACAGTATATCCAAAGTACTATCATTTTGTTACAATTGAATATATTTCATTATCATAATACTTTAATAATTTTAATAATATTTTTATCTCCCCCCAAATTCTCAAATATTATCATTTTGAGATGTTATTGGTATATTAAATGTTCTCACTACACACAAGAAAAAGTGGTAACTATGTGAGGTGAGGGACGTGTTAACAAACTTGATTGTGGTAATCATTTCACAGTGTATACATATATCAAATCATCATGTTGTACACCTTAAATTTATACAGTTTTTTAATGATACCTCAATAAAGCTGGAAAAAATACTTTAAAGGGGACACGTCATGTAATTATTTCAGTACATGCTGTGCTGAAAAGCCATGTTAAAGTTGAATATCCATCCCTAATAAAGAACTTAATGGTTGAAAAAAAAAGATATTATTAATATAAAAAAAAGTCAATGAAATATTTAACTTTTTTGTACTAGGTCTTCAAAATCCTATGTGTCTTTTACAAATCTTAATTCAGACTAGCCACTTTGACATGTTTAATAGCTACCTGTGGACCAGTGGCTGTGTATTGGATATGCAGGTCTAGAGTCCTAGTCACCAAAACAAAGTCCCAAGAGCATCACTGTACTGAAGCAATTGTTTTGTTTGCTCAGAACTTCCTAAAACAAAACAACCAAATGGATTCCTGCTTTTCCCTAATTTTGCAATGTGTCATCGAGTTTTAGCTGTGGAACAAATGAGGAAGAACCATGCGAGTTTATTCTTTGAGCTATGTGAATGTTGAAAGAATGAGAAATGATAAAATTTTCCATTCTTCCAAGACATAGAGTCTTCTAATCAGATCAGAATATAAAAAGTAAGACTTTTTTCTGATATTTTGGGAGTTTGAAAAGTAAATATGAAAGTAACAATTTTAAAAATTTAGAGTTCAGTTGTATAGAATTTGTATTTTACTAAGTATTCCTTTATATTGTCACATTAAAATTTTCTCTAGAAAGTGCAAAACAAAGAAAAGTGTACAAAATGTTCTTAGCATCTGATGTCATGAAATGGTATGATCATCTTAAATATCATATGTAGTTGAAGCTTTAATAACTTTTTATTAGCAGATTATTGTATACAGTCTTATTTTGTTTGTTTTTAAAATCTCCACATCATTCTACTAAGTTGGGTCAGCTCCAGAATCAATTTTACAGGAGAGAAAAGTGAAAAAAAAACAGACTTTGGATGTTCAGCAAGGTCACTTATGAAATGTGTGGCCAATCAAGGAAGACGAGTTTGGCTTCATCCACAGACAGTGATATTAGCTTTCCCGTGTGTAATGGGTGTGTCTTCCTCACCACCCCCCTCTCCCTCAGGCTTTCTGTAATGAGTGTTGGTAATTGATAAGTACTATGTGGATGAATTCATGCTACAGAAAAGAGGAAAACTTGAGTTTCATTTTTCAGTTTCCTGAAACAAAGCTTGAGTTTCAGTTTTTAGTTTCCTTCACAATCTTATCAGTTTGCTGAAAAACATCTTGGTAAAGGAAGCCCAGCTTCCTCTTTCCCATTCAAACTGCATTTGCTGATGCTGGGCAAAATTCAAGTAGTATTTTCCTTCATAGTTTTATTCCACTTGATGTCTCTGCTGCCTACAATAATTGTTTAGTGGTAGAACAAATAGCCCTAGGAATCAATAGGGTATTCACAATAGAAAATTATTGTTACTGCTACCGGTAGTAACCCATATTTACGGAGAGCTTTTCATATGTCATGAACTATACTAAGTATTTTGTAAACATTTAATCTTCACAACAACCCAGAAACTGAGACTTAGAGAAATTATACAACTCGGTCAAGGTTACACAGTAAATGGCCAAGCCAAGATTTGAACTAGGTCTGTTTGGCCCGGAAACTCATGTTCTGACCATTGTTTGGTAATGGGAATAGACCAGAAGCAATGAGCTGGGGCTGGCCAGTTAGCTTATTCAGTTATAGCACGGTGCTGATAAACAAAGATCCAGGATTCAATCCCTGTACCAGCCAACTACCAAAAAAAATGGAAGCAATGAGCTAATCCTAAAGTTCCAGTATGTGAGGATTAAATGATACTGTATGTATTTCTTCTCTAGCATGTATTAGGTACTCAAAACATGTTTATTTCATTTCCCTTTTGCATCCTTTGGAAAAACAGTATTTTCATAATCTATACAGCAAAAACAGTAATCTGTCTTTCATTTATTATATGACTTGGTAGGAAGCCTTTTTTTTCTCCAAATAAAATGTAAGCTCCGGGTCGAGACCGTGGTGCACTCGGGAGGGTGCGGCGCTGGGAGCGCGGCAGCACTCCCGCCGCGGGTTCGGATCCTATATGGGGATGACCGGTGCGCTCACAGCGCTCACTGGCTGAGCGTGGTGCGGCCAGTCTCAAAAAGGACAAAAAGGGGCCGGCCCGGTGGCGCACTGCGCTAGTGCGCCGCTTGGGAAGCGCGGCGGCGCTCCCTCCGAGGGTTCGGATCCCACATACAGACCGGTTCCCGCTCACTGGC